CAGATTTATGATTCTCTTTACTTGTGACACAAAGAATTGTCTGTTTTGTCCGTCGAAACATTGATATAGCTATAAGCACGTCAGCGGTGTTTATACTTTGATAGCCTGAGGGGTATAAGCAGACGTCTGGGGGGTCTCGTTCAGTCACCTACGTTCGATACTTTTCTCGCTTGCATGTCTACGGTATATCGACATATTTTTCTTGTACGTTTCTGGTAGGTCAGTGCGCGACTTGAGGACCATATCAAACACACGCGTTCGTGAAGAATTCGGGTCGCTCCATACGTTTCTAAAAGTTTACCTGCTAAACTTCCGCTGAGTACCATCTCGCATAGTGACTGTCATTTGAGATAAATACGAGGTGAAATGCAATAACCAGTGAAGTTATAATATGTTATTGTTTCAATATAAATTGAGCGTTAATAGTGTGATAATAAGAGCTGTTAATAATATTAGCAATGAATTGATTGCACTTTCTTAATTATAATAATTTGTTAATAGCGTAATAATATTACAAGTTTGTCGTACAAAACATACGTAGCATCCATCATTATTCGCCTTTATCACTGATAGATTGCAACAGGAAGAAATAGGACCCTGTAGTATTAACGAACTACAAACAAAAGCGAAACGATTAAAATTAGTTTAATATGCGAAAAGTACATATTTGTAAATATTATTAATCGATGTAGAGACGTTTCCACACTCTGTAAAAAATAAAGTCGATAGAACTTCCAAGAAATTAACATCAATGATAAAGAGAAGTTTTTAATTGACATATTCGGAACAGTAATTAAAATCTCTTAATTTTTTATATATCTTTATTTGTCTTGTATATATTTACAATAGGTTTAAAGCAATTAGAAAAATAACAGAATCAATGCAAAATATTTTAACTTATTTGCTCAAGAGTTTCGTAATCACATTTTGTGCGTTTTCAGTCTCTTAAGTTTTGAATCTTAAGGTTCGTAAAAATGAAGTATAAATATAATTAAACTTTAAAGCGATGGCGTTATAAAGCTCGAAATAATTCCGTCGAAATGATAAGGTTCCACAAAGATTTACTCAATCGATTAGGATTTCAATACTTACATTGGTGAACATGTTCATGTCGACGAGAGAGAAAAATGCGTTTATCGTCATTGGTTTTTGCATCATCATTAAAATGATATTCGTTCTCACGTGATGATTCAGATCAGAATTAGGCCATTCGCCAAAATATATTCCTTTACGAAAGTCCTCGCTCTAAACATATAGATATATAGTTAATATTGTATATACATATATGGGAAATTATTTTGAGTTATTATAATTGTTTTAGTAAATCATTAAAACTTACCGCATTTGTGAGGAGTGTGCCATACCATGCATACGTAAACGTTTGGAGCAATTTTATTGTAGCGTAAGTCACAGATACGCCTATGTTGAAAATATTAAAGTCCGAAAACTGTTGCAAATGTTTAACAATTAGTATTATATCATGAAACACTTGCGCAACATAATAACATTGGACATGTGTAAAAAGTTTTGCACGCGCAGCGTAATCTTTTTTTTTCTTAGAAGAGCAAAAATTATTAGATTAAAAATATATTAGAAATTATTAGATTATTTTACTCTACTGAAGTTATATTAGGCTCCGCGAAGTAATTATGATCTTCTTTCATTTAATATTCGCAAATGTTCTCCAAATGTAGAATCGAAACGCGTTCAAATTTATTCTTACGTTACATTAGCGCAACTTGACGGTACCAATTGTACTACCATAACATTTATCATGGCCAATTGCAACCACGCATAAGCGACATCGAACATCAAATTTTGCATTAATGTATCCACGTACTGACATCGCCTCGTATATCAATGCGCAAAGGAGCACGGCGTTGGTGACAATGTGCCAAAAGACAATGGGTCCGTAGATATGCTCCAACATATCGCGACATGGCAGTAGTCTCTGATGCTTTGCCATGCACGATCTTAGAACGTCTGAGAATTTCTCAGTGGGTAGAGGATTCGTGAGCCTGAAGGTCATGGCGCGCATCGTCGAGGCAAACTGGTAGACATAGAAGCCAAAGATGCTGTCAATGCCGCAAGCCGTGATGCTGTTGATCGACAGTCCGCCTGTCTCGAAGAGCAGATGAAAATGATACAGATAATTGCGCGGAACGGTCCAGAAGTATCCGTGTCCCCTAGTGATTGGTAGGCTGTAATTCGTAGTTGACTGGGAACGACAAAGACCGACGATTATGGATAAATAAGCAGGCATAGAAAATGCCAACATCATTGCTATCAAAATGGCAGAATATGTATATGCCAGGGTGTATACTGTGGGCAGGGACGAAAGTATTATTGTCCGGATTTTTTCGTTCCGTAGAAGTTCCTCCTCGAAAAGATCATTTAGCGTCCGGTGATAATTTATCAGAGACGCTCGATTGTGCAGGAACGTTCCAATCTTAAAGAAAACCAGAAACGCATATTTTTATTTTCCACGCGGGACGAAGAAGTTGCAGAGAGTGTGACGTGGCACGTTTGATACACGATTTTAAATCTGTTATATTTGTATTTCAATAAATAATTTTTTGCAATTAAGACTTTGTTTTTAATTGACTGCAATTGGCTATCGTCATGACATGTCGACCATTAGTTTTGGTCAAATTAATTGTCAAGACATTTCGACCATAAGGTATGGGGTTTGGTCTTCCTTTTTCAAGCTTATATGTAAGCATCATAATTTAATTTATTGCGATAAATAATATCGTCAATTTGTCATGACGATAGCCAATTGCAGTCGATTAAAAATAAAGTCTAAATTGTTAATTAATTATTGGTGTAATAAGGATATACTTAAGAATTTTTTTCTTCATGAAAGATGTAAAAAGTAGTAACGGTTAGTACGATATCAACCGATATATAAGTGCACTAAATATATTTCTCCAATTTATTTACCAAGGATTCTTATATAAATCGTTTCCGTTGCAAATTTTCAGGTCGACGACATATCTGGTTAATTTTTTAACAAATGTAACGAATTTCAATATACATACAGGCTGCTTTTCGATATTCACTCTCAGTATTGAAAATCTACAATATATGTGACGTATAATAAACAATAGATTTTCAGTACTGCCAGTGATTATCGGAGTGCAGCTCTATTAAAATACGTGTAGAGAAGAATTTATCTTTAGAAATAATTGAAGCACGTAATGCAGTCCATTTATTTATTAATATATCAATGTATTAATATGTTTCTTATTGTAAAATAATAATATACCTATATACAATATTATTCTGATTTTGCTTTCCTACTTAATAAAATGCAAAATTTTTCTGACTTGTACCTTGAGAATGGCGCTAAATGAAGATATTGCTATGCCAACACATTTCATCATAATTGCCAAATTATGTCTGGTGATATAGCACAAATTCAAGCTCACAGTCGCATATGGGATTATCACCAAGAGCACGCCAACTACCCAGAAGTTCATACACTTGCCAGATTTTGTGGGCATATA